ACGAATTACTGATTTAATAATCTCCTCACTTTTCCGAACACATTTTTATGAACTTCTTTCACATTTTATTCCCCTTTTTTAATTCTCTTTAAAATGTTCTTTTTTTTAAAAAATTGTCATCACATTACTTTTCACTTTTTATTGACTTCATGTATTCATTTGCCTCTGTAAAGCACTTTGATTGCCTTTTATGAATTGCGCTGTGAAAATAAACTTGCCTCGGAATGGTCTTGGACTGCAAGAAAGACGTGCGAATCACTCAGCCAACATGCTGCCCGCTTTATTCACCCTGAATCTTAATTCTTCATCTGAGAAGATATTTTCGACTTCCGTGCTTTCAACTGTCTGGAAACAGTTTAGGGAAAGGACAATGGACAAGTGCCCCAATGCGCTGTTATAACATACCCAGAATGCCTGAAATGAATCATAATCAACACAATTTGTCAGACAACAGCATGTCGAGTGCCTGTTGCTGTCTGGCCAAGGCGAAGTTTCGAACTCTCGCAATCATCTAAATGCATCAAGAGAACAGAATCTCCCTTCAGCAGATGCCAGATCGTCTGAGTAATAAATAAAACCCAAAGGACACCCCTTGTTTGTCATGCAGGTTAGTTCAAACCGCAGCCGTTGTCCTAACAAAATGCTACAAAATCTCAAGTCAGGCTGATTGAATATCGTCCATAACTGTGAATATCAATTGTCGTTTGGGTATGTGGGCCCTGCTCGTGACTACTGCTAATTTAAAGGTTTCGCGTTTAAGTATCGGAGGAAAATTAGTGTCAAGCTATCCCCATTTTTAAAAATTTGTTTGGAACAAAACTAGACCTTTTAATGTTAAGTCAGGCAGGGTTGAGGGTCAGCATGGCAGGAGTGCTCTCCAAAAATATTGAATTCCAAAAAGGTAAAAAAAGTAAAACAAGGCACTTCGGAATAATCAAAAAAAATTACATTAACTTCAGTCTCATAAACAGATTTGAAGTAACAAACCAACAATCAGACTAAACTCTCCACAGTCCATTAACATCCAGCCCTAAAGTTAAATACAACTGAACTCTATCTCCTCAGGCAGTACTTCTTTTGCATACCACTAGAGGGTGAATGTGAAACTCTAGTGGTATCACACCTTGAGATTCCCTGCCTTAAACGTTTTCCCATAAAATAGGAAGCACTGAATCGTCTTGGCTAAATGAAAAATGAGATCCAATGGCAACTACGTGTTCAAGCACAACCCCATACTTTTAGGTGTGCCACTTTGCTTTTAAAGGCGATCGTGTGCAACCCGTGGCTTTACGTGTATTACAACTTCCATGCATCATCCGCGCCTGTGCGCGGACCCTTTGCACCCTGACGTCATCAGTCTTGCCTCATCCCCTCGCAGAAAAAGAGCGTTTGCAACTCACCACTCGCAGGGCAAGCCTCGATCGTTAGCAACACTTTGTCTCGGAAAAGAAGCATAATCACCCAAAGCATGAAACAATATATCACACGCGATGGATAACGCCATTAAAAAAAAAAAAAAACAAGTGCCATTCTATCTCCCTCTTCTCCTCACGTTACATTTGCAGATGAGAGCAGACGATTGCCATCTCTTCAACTCTGGGGATGAAACATCCTTTTCTGTTTTATTTTAAATGAGTGCAGTGAAAGGAATGAAACATGAGAGGAATCCCCGCCTTGGACACTGCCGGTGGAGTTTTAATCACTAACATGGTTTGGGAATAACGCCGCTCTGATAGGTGGACAAAGCATGTTAGTGATCACTTTTGCATCCGACAGCAGCCGGGATCGAAATCGCCCGGACGTTACACAGGTCGACCGTTAAGCCGGTTGTATGGTGCCATCTGTATCTACAACAGTTTTTAAAACAGGAGGAAAGTTCCAGAAACATTGCATTTATTCTATTATCAACATGGCGGCTGCTTGGCACTCTTGACCGTTAGATGCTTTCAAACCAAAAAATAAACTTGACTTCGCTAAAATGGTAAGCAGCCTACGATGTATATTTGAGGTCCTTTTTACAAGATGCATTTCGTTGGCTTAAACCGGATGCACGCGCACGATTTTTGACAATTTAGTCGAGAGTCCCCCAAACATGACGACAAAGACAAGTCAAGATAGGATGAGCAACGCCGCACACCCACACATTGCAATTCTCCTCCTCCAAACCAAGTCTGTTGCAGTACCAGGACTGACCTGTGGGGGGTAACATGGAGCCAGAGAGCATCCAGACTGCCAGAAAATACATAAAAGAAGAAAGCGTGTCACTTGAAGAGGTGATCGGGTCACTACGGTGCTGTTACGAACCATTTCTTGACCTCACACATAAGAATTTGCGACATATAAGACATCACACACCACAGTAGTTGAGGATAATCTTTTAGAGACGCGCTACTATCGGGACGAAATACTTTACTCATCCTTAGTCTGTGTATAGTCTTCTTTAAATGTGAGCCGATACTCTTAAGTCTGCTGGCGTGTAGGACTCTCTACCACTTTGGCATCTGGGGTGGGTTGAACAGTTCCATCGTGACGCCGAGGGCAAAAAGAGAACCGAAATCCTTTTAACAAAAGCAGTTGGTAGCAGACTACTTTCGGGTTAATGGAGGGTGGCGTAAAACATTAGGATTAAACCGATGCAATTGTACTATTTGCATTCTGAGGGAAAAGGTCCCATTGTGACTCAAATGATGAAAAACAAGGTTTGACTCCAAAATTTCATGGATGATGATGAGAGGGATTTGAAACAAGAAGCAACGATGAAAACATTCATTTTGCGCTTCGTGAAGGTAAAAGAAAAATCTAGTCAGGCTGAATTGAATCAAATAATTCGATGGCAATTTTTATTGTCCTCGAATGATTTGACCACTTTTTTTTTGTTTTTTTGCTCGACAAAGTTAGCATGTATTTAAAAAATTTAAAAAAATAAATACATCACACGACGTACTATCACAACAGTCACTCGTTGATGACCGAGCGAACTAAATTTCCCTCAGCACTGACTGGACAAAAACGATGTACAGTAATGCGATCATCTGCCGCGGGCGTGTCATAACTAATTGACGTGTTGAGTCGGGTGTGTCTTAACCTCCAAGGCAAAGGCTCCGTCGAACCCCTGAGACCGATAGACCGAACCCCTGGGCTTGAATCGAACCCAGGTTGAGAACCACTGATTTAGCGGATCCGCTATAGTTGCGGCGAACAACTATTCGCTGCACGGCCAAAGGAGTCTCATTAAGACTTTCGAATGAACTCCTGAGAGACCACATCGAACGCTTACCACCTTTGCCAATATCAATTAGGCTTTATTTTTAATTAAGCCGAGGGGACGCGCATCATGTCGGCAGTGTGGTCTTATTAGGCATCTCCCTCCGCTCCCCAGGCCGCGGCTGACCATTGACCGTGTGCAGTTAATTCCTCTTACCCGTTTCAGGTTGCTTTTTTTTCCATCCTAGAAATGCACAACAACTACGTCCTCCCTCCTACACTTCCGTCAGATTACCTTTGTGACAAATCTCTCATCACGTGCTGCGCAGTTTTGGTGGAAGACAGACTCATAGGCTAAATAGAGGTGCTTGTACTCTGAAGCGACTGCATGAATGTGGCATGGATAGTGACCGTCGTGATGGATGGCTGGTGAGAATAGGTCCTTGCCTGGGGTTTATTAGTAATTTGGCAAAGTTGTTGGGGGCGTTGTTGGGAAAGAATGGCGAAGCGTTTAGGAAATACTGTACCAAGGCGACAGTTAAATACGACACTGCTTTGAGGACAAAAGACATGTTGGTAATTCCAGAGAGCTCACGCTGGGGCCGACTATTGTGCAGCAATGCATCTGTAGTGTTTAATTTTGTTGTGGCGCTGTGCCCGGGAAGGTGTTTGTGTTTTTGTGTGGGCCAAAATTTAAAAAAATAAATTAAAAATAAAAATCCAGTCTGGCTGGTTGAGAAGACAGACAAAATAAACTGAATCTCTATAATATAGCCGTGGAACAGGAAGCTTGTGTGTAGCATAGGGCCAATAGGTGCAAATAAACACAAATAACAAAGAAATGAGTCAACCGGCGTTATTTATAAAAAATGTGTCCATTGCCCTGCAACAATGTGTCCTTTGCCCTGTCTCGTCATCTGGCATTCGTCTCAAGGAAGGACACCCACTGACTCACTGCCAGAGAATATAAACGGTGTCCATTTGATTTGAATGGTGGCTTTAAAATAAAGAAAACAAGCGTCTTCAATGTGGAGACAAACAAAAAAAAAAAAATCCAATTTACAAAACTGATTGTGCAAATTGGCAAGAGCCTCGCAACAAACTGACATTCAAACAGCCAGAAGGCTTCTTTCTTTCATGCCGGAACAAAATGACCCCCCCCCCCCTCGCCCTCACCTCTCCTAATCCAAACTGGCCAATAAACAAACAGTATGCCACTCTGTTTGCAGCCTTTTTCCCCCCCAACTGATCTTCCAAAGTCAATGTTATAAATTACACTGGCCACAAAAATGGCTAACGATTCAGAGTAAAACTTCACAACTTCAAATAAAACCTTCACAATGTAGTAAAAGCAGTAAAATCAATCAGGATTTCACCTGTTCGCGCCACCTCATCACAGTCAACCACAAATTTGGGGGGAATTTATCGGAAGAATTAATTAGGACTAATGGGGAAATTCATAATGGCCGCTCCAATACTTTTGCTCACTTCAAAAGCGGGTGGCTTCAAACTAAAGATGCGCTATTCTGTGTCAAACTCATTTTTGTCGCGGGCCGCATTGTAGTTACAGTTTCCCTTGGAGGGCCGTTATGACTGTGAATTTTGTGAAACCATATAAATATTTAACCACCTCCACATATTACTAAACACAGCGAGCAACAAATAGACGGATAACTAGTTTTGACATCATAAGTGAAGAATAATGGATTGTTCAAACATTGTAATTATGACATTATATACGACAATTTGAAATTTCGGTTCAGACTTTAGCAAACATCATAGAAGTTGACATGCTTGAATTGCTTTTGCAGGCCACTTAAAATGATGTGGCGGGCCACATCTGGCCCCGGGGGCCTTGGGTTTGACACCTGTGGTTTAATACATCTGTAGGTACGAAATATGGAATAAAAGATGGAATTCCGAACTTTTCTGTTGTATACTTTTGGAGGGGACTGTATGTAGGATGTATTATTTTAGTGTTCAATTGATTTTTTTGGGAACAATTCAAATGATCATAACATCCCCACATATTTACAATCAATTCTAGCCAACCTTATTTACGATGTCTCGTAAAATGTAACCATAGCTCTGTATTATGTGTGAAATATGACAAAGTACAACCAAATGGTGTTGCGCTGTGTTTGCCTTTCTATGTTTTCAGTTCAATCCTTTCTGTCCAGATCAAGTGGTCAAATTAAACTCTAAAAATGTACGACTTACACTAGAGACCCGCGACCTGCTATCGCCACAATCCTCGGCAAGAGTAGGACTCATAAATGCAATCAAAAGGTGGGGAGTCACCCTGTGTGAGTCATGAATTATTCACCATGTTTGACGTCCTCCAAAAAAAAAAAAAAAAGGGAAAATTGTCTCACCTGAGGGCCTTCGGATGCATTTCACCGGGTTACAGGAGGGCGTTTGAATGAATGATAAACGCTTTAATCCAAGACACTTCAATCAGATGTAGAGTGTGAGGGGGAGTCGGCGGGGTTAAAGGGGTTGAAGAGTGAGAAGTTGTTCATGCGGCAAGGTCGCGGTCTCGCCACGTGGTGCTTTGAGGCACCAATGACTTTGTTCTCATGCTGGTTAAAGGCTACTCCCACCATTAATGCAGCGTGGCAGCCAAGCGCTGTGTGATCTGCCAGTAATTAAGCCTTGTGTCACTATCAATCTCGGCCCGGTCCCGCTTTCTAATCGAGCCACTTTATTGTGGCTAATGATCCCCTTACATGGAGATCAGCATCTTACCATCCTTTTTTTTTTGTACCCGTCACATGATGTTGGTCCGTGAATGCATTTGGGTGATCACAAACACCCTCGCAATTCCCGTGAAGCATGACCTAAATGTCTACTCAAGTCATTTGCATAGAGCAAACAGCGGCCAGTGGGGCTGTGATTTTCTCAACCCGTAAATGGGCGCGGAGCCATTTTTGGAATATTATTGAGTATTGTTACCGTTATGTTACAATTCACATCAAGTGAACGTGGATTTAAACTCTTTCATGCACCCTGTAACCCGATAACATGATAAACTGTCCACTGGAGCAGTGTTTTTCAAACTTTTTTGAGCCAAGGCACACTTCCTTCATCAAAAAAAATCTCACGGCACACCACTAGCTGAAAATGTGACCCCACCCCCTCCGCTTATTTTAACAATCAACGTGTTATATTGTTCCGATAACCGTTTTTAACATTGAAGAATGACGTTATAACAGCTTGAAATGGAATCAAATGAACACAAAGAAAACAGTATTTTATCATCTTTCATATTTATTGTTTCACCGTCGTCCTGCATTATTACGTCACAAATTCGCTTGTCTCTCGTCGGAACACAAGGCAATTGGCTAGCTGTTGCTGCTCCCTAGCGGTATGGGAGGGTACTACATGATTACTTTCTGGGCGAAAGACGGCACAGGCATACAAATTGGATATTTTCCCGCGGCACACCTGACAATGTCTCGCGGCATACGGGTTGAAAAACACTGCACTGGAGTAACCGCTGTCCCTGAAAGGGTTAAAATTGAAATAAGAAGGATGTTATGGAGAAATGCAACGGAACTTAATACTTTGTAAGTCGTGTAGCTCTGCCTCCTGGAAATCGAATTCGGCAGATTTGATTCATATCACACGAAATTATATGAGAATTCCATATTCAATGTCATCAAATCCATTTGTACATTCAAAGTCCAACACTCTCTTATGTTACGTTGTGCTTGTTGAATTTGCAGGTGACAAAGCTTTCAGCCTTGATGGAGGTCTGCATTCAGGTAGGTTGTCTTGTTTGTCATTTAATTTTATGTCTCAAATGCCCCCCCCTCCTTTGAAGTTATCATGCAAAATTGGAATTGGCATTCCTTGGGCAAAAAAAAAAAAAAAAACACGGCACCAACAACGCACGTGGATCATATTTGCAGTGTCATTCACTAGAAATACTCCAGTACAATCAATAATACGGCGCTGAACTTTCCTTTGCAAATTCCCCCCCCCCCCCCCCCCCCCCCCCCCCAACCCGTGATCATCTGTGAGCAGACACAGGCTGTCAACTTTTAAGAGGTTGTCCTTATTCACTGGCTTTTGCTGTGTTTGCAGGGTTATTGCAGCAACATCTGAGACCAACACGCAAAGCAATCTCGTACCCTCCCTTTTGTTTACATTCCCTGGAGAAAGGTTTCAAAAGTGGTGCTTGGACTAAATGCCAAGCCCCCCGCCCGTGCCAAACGTTTGTGTAATCAGGTGACTGAGGCTGTCCTACGTTTCGGCAGTCACACAAGAAACTTCAGTCATCCGCCACCAGTTTGCAAACAAATTACAAGCCTCTTGAAGACGGCGCGAAGTGAGCAAGAGAAAAAAAGCGCTCTGAAGACGTCGCCTATGGCACAAAAAGTGATTGACTGGTGCTGACCTCAAATGAAATGATAACACAAACTTGTGTTTGGCATTGCGCCACTACGATGTCCTTAGAAGAAGAAATTATCCAGTGGATCCAGTGGGTGAGGCGGGGATAAATCAAGTGGATGTCTTAAAATAGTTGTACAGAGAAGATTGCAAGACTGCCTCGAGGCTGGCACAGCCGCTTCTAATGGGAAGACGGGGAACCGAATCTCCCATCATCGAGGTTGGGGGAAGACTTTTTCTCACAGGTATGTACAAAATGTTCAGTTGGGCTGTGTTAGAGTCATTTAACAAAACATAATGACTCATCATCTACAAAATTACAGTGCGCCGTCCATTTCATTGTGAAAAGAGCTCATCTTTGCCATTAATCAGCGCGACAAAAGCCAATTAAATCTCTCAACTCTGTGTCAGTTTCCAACCACATCTAGTTTCGAATCGGTTGACCACTTGTAATAAAAATTACGGCCAGCGTTTTGTTTCTTTTTGAAGCGAGTTACCTCACATAACTTCTTTTTGACTGACACATCAGAGTTATAGAAGAAGGTTAAAAATCATCATTCATGCCCTGTTCTCGCAGTCGCTGTGCCTTGGTCAAATGAAAAAGATGAGAAAGTGTCTGCTTTTGCAACCCGGAAGTACGGATGACGTCATGGTGAAATGTCCTCTGTGCCTGCACGCTGGTAGATGCCGTGGCTCAAACGAATAAACACCTCTCCTCAAACGGATCCCCCCAGTTTGTGCCATTAGGTAAGCTATAATACTTTTGACTACAGCCACGTTTCCGCAAGGAAAGGTTAGGTTTACGTAAATGTGAATCGCCCAGAAAAAGTGATCGCTCACCATGCTGATGTTTGCCGTGGACATTTTCGAAGCATTGTTAAAAGTTGACAAAAGCAAACGTCCTTGGATCGGTTCTTTACAAAACGCCAGGCAAAAACCACTTCTGAGAGAGAACATGGACTAAAGAGGATTAAAAAAAAAAGATGAGGACACAGTTAAAATTTAAATGATCATCATTTTTATTCTTTACTCTATTCTTTGTTTTTCACATGATGCACAACTCTCATTTATTGTGCACTAAACTAAATGCATCATGTATTTGTTCCATATTTTGATACATTTTTCTGCTTTAGAAAACATTTATGTCTGAATTTTGGGTGGCTTGGAACGGATTAGGGCATTTACATGGAAAACGCGTCTCTACTTACAAATGTTCTAGTTAAGAAATTTCTTCCGGAACGAATTAATTTCGTAAGTAGAGGTACCACTGTTGGTCGATATTTAGGTAGGTTGATAAGGTAGTTAGGTCGATTGCTAGAAAAGGTAGGTAGGTAGGTACAGTACATTGGTAGGTGGATAGATTGATTCGAAGATATACGTACATGGATTGTTTGGCAGCTACAGTATTTTGTACTGTAGGTAGGGAGCCATGTGGACAGGCGGATAGAAAGATTGGTAGATAAAATAGGTAGGTGGATATGTAGATTGATTGGTAGTTAAGACAGATGGATTGGTAATGTGGTAGTTAGGTCGGTCGATTAGATCGCAAGATGATGTGTCTTAATGTCCTTCGTCCAGCATTTGTACAAATCGGGCCTCCTCTCATTTTGACGTCTCTTTCCAATAAATGCCTTGTGCCTGCTACGGTTGACTTCGCTTTGCCAAAACGGCTTCTGGAAAACGTGGTGTGATAAGTGTCCCGTTGTCTCTCACTGGTCGCGTTATCAGCGCGCGATGACATTAACGGCTGGCGGTATAGCTGACGTTTATGCGTGGCTGCAACTCAAGCCGGTGCCAAAGGTTCAGATGTGACATTCCATTTTCTCATTTATTTAGCAATTGTTTTGAAATATTTGCGTGGCCACGTCAGGGTCATTCTATGCTCACTTTGTAGTTTAAAACAGCCTCTCGAGCTCCGGCAAGCTAGCAAGTGATCTTCAGTCCGCATGTCAAATGCAGGTTGAGGTTTGTTTTTTTTTTTTTTCATGAGACGTCCTAATGAAATATCCATATTAAGCGCTGCTTATCATACAGCACGTCAAATCTGCCGGCCTGCAAATGGAGTGGAAGCAAAGGTTAATTGCCAGTTACTGGGAGCAGCCACTTGAAATTGCCTGTCCAGGTGGCAGATGGTCCGCGATGAATCTCAGCTATTATAGCAGCGGGAGACAGAGGAAGAGGTGCACGCAATACCTTCGTCTTCTACGTCCGATTCCACCCCTACTGGGTTCGCGAAATTGATTTTGGTGTGCAACAAAGCATGCACTTGCAAAAAGAGCAGAGTTAGTAAGTCGTCTTCTTACGTCGCCTTTGGCGAGGTCACATGCGCTCTCGTAACCGGTTGTGCATGGGCGCACACACTAACAAATGGACCTGTTGCAACATCACTCCGCAGCAGGAGACACAAGCTGCGACCCCCCCCCTAAAAAAAAAAAACGCGAACTGCGCCTAGATGACGCTCCCACTTTTACCCCTTTTTTTTTTGCGCAAAAAAAAGTGCGCTGCGCCGTGCGTGCGTAAAAACGAGCAACCCCGTCGGCTACACGGCTTACCTGTCGTCGGTCTGCCAGTCCCCGAGCAACAGGTCTCGGAACCGATACCGCGGGGGCAGCGGGAGCACCTCCTTCTCCAGTTCGACCATTCTTCCTCCTCCTCAGAGCTGCACCAGAGACGCGGCTCGCGCGCGCGGCGGATCACCGCAAAAACCTCCGTACGGAGGAGGTGATCCACCACCCCAAAACGTCCGTTCTTCCTCCCAGTTCTTATAATAGCATCACTATCGGCGACATGGTGCTTTGCGATCGGCCGGACTTCCTAATTACAATTCGGCTGGACTTGCCCCCGCGCCGAGGCAACAGGTTGCGGCTGAGGATCCACTTTGGCAGCTGGAGAGCAACTGGTTGCCTGCGTCGCTCCTCCGCAGCATCCTTCCTCGCCTGAGCTCCACATGCATGGACGCGCTCGCTGCAAGTGTGTGACCAGCCACTGGGGATTAGTGATGCCACCACTTGGGTGTGTGTGCGCGCGCGCGCGTGTGTGTGCGTGTAGTACACGACCAGCCAGGCCACAATATTAGGAACGCCTGCACATTCTACAGGGTGCTCGCAAAGTCTGAATACATGGTAAAAAAACAAACAAACACATACTTCTTCAAACAACATAATTGTAATGTTGAGAGATAATATTTTCAAAATGATTCCCATCATTTTCAATACATAATTTGATGCGTTTTTCAAAGTTCAGTTGAACTTGATGGCATAGGTCTGCATTGCCTGTAATGAGAGCCAATACAAATGTTGTGTCAAGAATTCAGCCTTTATAGAGATGACACTGGTTGCGATTAAACTGCATATTCATTTGGAGTTGAACTTTGCATATTGACACTAACCGGTCACTTCATTAGGTACACCTGCAGGATGAAGTCCCAATGTAAAAATTGGTCACATATAGTAGGCTACATATCATGGTTGAGTTTGACATACAAACAACCATTCACATTCACACCTTCGGACTATTTGGACTACACCTGATCTCATTTGCATGCTCTTGGAATGTGGGAGGAAGCTAGAGAACGGGAATAAACTCCACGCAGGCAGGCCGGAGCAGTGATTTGAACCCAAAATATCAGAAATGTGAACCACGTGTGCTAACCACGTGTGATGGAGAAAGGCACAACACATCGCACTCAAAGTGGCGCTATTATTTAAAAGAAAAATGAAAAAAAAAAATCAGCTTTTGTCATGTTTATTAAAACAATCATTAAAAAAAACATATGTGGGGGCAGGGGGCTGTTTTATAAATATAAGATGTAGTCTCAAACAAAGTAATCGCAACATCGGCACCAACTCTTGGTAACAATTAGCTTTAGTCAAGGCAGATGTCATTCTATTGGAGCTTATTAAGTTTGTGCAGGTTTACCAAATGTTGCGGCTGGTGTGTTTTGAAAAAACGAATGAAGTCCTTTACATCCATTCAGCTTCATCCTCAATCAACACCTTTGCCTCATTAGGAAAATAACAGCGTCCCGAATAACGCAATGAGCAGCCACGCAATCCCTTCAACTGTCCATCACAGCTGCCTGCCACTGAGTTGTCGGTGCACTTGAAAGTTCTCCTCTGCTCTTTAATTAGCATGTTTGCTTCTCTAACCCCTCCCCCTCACACCCCCACCGATACATGACAACGCGTCCAATTAACGTTCAAGCCTTCGGTGCATAAACACTTTTACGGGGCCCTGGAACACGATTCTGCACGGTTTGGTAACTCAGCCTCAGCACCAGCCACTTTCCTCTTTCTCGCCAGGCATATTTCAAAATAAACAGCTGAAATGCATACTGTAAATATAATCCCGTGATTAATTAAGATATCATAATCGCATAGACGCAGAGAGGAGAGAATATGAGCATATTTGGGAGGTGGTTAAAAAAAAAAAGCTATTTAAAAATGTGCATTTCGTATGTTGAATCACTTTGTGTTCGGCGCTAGAGCGGTGAACCGTTTTGCTAGCTGTGAGATTATTCAAAATTTGGTACACATATACGGCCCGTTGGAGCGTTTAGTCAACATCCTTGCTATCCAGTTTGGCCCATGGACTAGCCGCAATCGTCTCGTTTTCAACCTGGACAGTCCAGCTGATTGATTCAATCCCCTGAGAATGAAGTGAGCATATTCACTAAATGCTCAAATGTATGACGAGCCCTTTTTAACATTTAACAGCTACCCCAAAACCTAACCTGCCCTAAAATCTCTTTTAACTGCATTTACGACGCACATGACAGTTTTGCAAAACGCTCCATCATAAGACAAGTGATGAGTTGTCATAAATGAAATCAACAGGGTCAGTAGTTAGCCGGTGCGCACACATACCGATAATGGGGCCTGCTTTTTAGCTCAATTCCTAGCTCCCTAAAACAATGTTAAGACATGAAAAATCGGTATGCTTGTACCCTCGCTTAAAAGCTCCCAAATGTGGTGTTGAGAGGACAAAGCTAACAGCTGTAGTTTAAAAATCACGAATAGTGCTGAGCTTTTGCCCTCTGCTGGCCGTAAAGATGAGCAAGCGCTTGCGATGTACAACAAGACACCAAAACGCCCGCACTCATCACATTTGTGCTTGCCGTGACGAACGACACGCCTCCTTTCAGCACACTCTTCCGTGCCAAAAGCATGACAGGCAAGACGAAAAAAAAAAAACCATTTCTCCTTTCAAGTGGGTGGGCCTCACCATGTAACCATGGCGACAGCACCCCAAAAAAAATTGTGCGCATCGCGTGAGACACAGTTTGTGTGTTTGTTCGCCCCCCCCCACCCCCTTTTCCAAACCTCATTTAAACCCCATCCAGTGGCATATTATCATAATGTCTACTCCGAGGACAATTTGCTCAGGCTGCAGGTTGTTTGCCGCGCCACATAATAAAAGCTCCATCCTGTTGATCTAAAGCTGCCCCCCCCTCCCAAAACGCCCACGCACGCACAGAATAGGATAACGCAAATGTAAACAACAAATACAAAACAATCATGTGTTTAAAAAACGATAGAAAATCTGTCATTGTTTATCTGTGTGATATATCTTCTGCGTATTAAAAAAAAAATGTTACTCCAAGGTGATGTTGACGGAGGCCAGAGCATCCACAGCCCAGCTGGGGTACTGCTCACGGGATGGGAACATACGGCGCATGAAAGCGCGTATAAAGTCCGGGAAGCGGCCTTGCACGATACTCTGCCGCACGGAACGCATCAGGTTGAGCTGCAGGGGAGAAACGCGTACAGAAAAGATCAGATTCAACGGGGTTTCAGCAATGCTGTCATGACTGCCGTTGATTAGAATGCGACTTGGTGCAGGGCAGACCTCCCCCAAGGCCGTCGTGGAGAGGCATATTTTGGGATTGTGAACAGGCTACGTTAAAATCCTGACATTGATCCGAGCGATAAACAAGTCATCGAATTCAAATAGACAACGTGGCAGAATGCAACTTTTAAATTGCAAAGACAGCAATTTGGAGAAAATTAAAAGAGCTCCATGTCAGTATTTATGTCTCATGTATATGTTAGATTTTATTTTTTTTTTACAGCGTCTACATAAGTTCAGTGAAGTCCACGTTTCTATTACACTTGTTTGCAATACAGATAAATAATTGCTTGTGTTCGTTAAAAAAAGTAAATCCGAGGAAGAGGACCTTGAAAAAAAAAAGAATCACATATTAAATCAGTTGCAATACTGAGGAAAAATAAATCACAATTGGATTCCTTTTTTAAAAATCATTCCGCTCGAATCGCTGCATGAAGTATCGTGAATAAGTAAATACGAGGAAGAGGACCTTGAAAAAAAAAAAGAATCGCATCTTCAATCAGTTGCAATATTGAGGAAAAATAAATCACAATTGGATTCCTTTTTTCAAAATCATTCCGCTCGAATCGCTGCATGAAGTATCGACGTCGGTAAAAGCAGCGGAATAATACCTGAATAAAACTTCAAATTTTTTGTTTTTATTATTGCTTCAAAACAATATGAGGATACACTTGTGATGCAATTCAACCCCACGCCAAGGCCAAAAATAATAACTTATGTCGAGTGTGTTTGTCTATCACCTGGTGAGTTGGGAAGCTACACCCTGGAGAATGGATGGGTGGTGCCTTCATGATGTGGATACAATTCAACCCCACGCCAAGGCCAAAAATATTAACTGATGTCGAGTGTGTTTGTCTATCAACTGGTGAGTTGGGAAGCTACACCCTGGAGAATGGATGGGTGGTGCCTTCATGATATTCGCGGGTGGACAATCCTATTGACGCTATAATAACCTTGTCCGAACCCTCATCACAATTTAAATGCTTTCGTTCCCCCTTAGCCATAATTGCTCAAAAGTTGAGTGAAATTTTTGGGTTTGTCTGGCTATGTCATCAGGACTACATTATGATATTCGCAGGTGGACAATCCTATTGACGCTATAATAACCTTGTACGGACCCTCATCACAATTTAAATGCTACCGTTCCCCCTTTAGCCATAATTGCTCAAAAGTTGAGTGAAAATTTTGGGTTTGTCTGGCTATGTCATCAGGACTACATGTACTGTCCAAAAGGTTGCTTAAAGCCATCTTCTCTCCTTGCCGCTTTGCAGAGTCATTAGGGCGTAAACATCCCCAAGGCAGGCTAATATTGACGACAGATCACAATATATGCTAAAGGGTGTTAGCGCTGTTATTTGGGCACAACACAGCTGAGGCTGATGGTAGAGGGTGAAAAGAACCCCCCAAAAATCTCAGCGCAACTTGCTAACGGTGCTAAAAAGGCTCATCCTTCAATTCTCCGGGGTGTGGGACTCATGGACGAACCGCCATGTCACCCCAGCTTGCGCGTCTGAAATGGGATCTTTTGAATAGCGATGTGTTGTATAAGTAGACAGCGTGCGTGCGCGTGTGCGTTATGCACGAGTGCGATGCCGCGGGACACGTGTCACAAGGGGACACTCCTCACTGGTGTGTGATTGTCGCTTTGCACAGTTGGAAGGGTGAGTCATGTATCGTACTGTCTGTCGCAGGGACTTGACTTGAAACGTCTTCCTTAGCTCAGAATAAAAGACGAGAGAATTTGATTGGAGTTGGTCTTCGGTTTTATGAGGATTCCAATGTTTTGAGGGTGGCAACGATCGCATCACTCCCAAAAACAACACGTTTTTTTTTTTGTTCCATGTTTTTAATCGAGAAAGACCTTGTAAAAATATTTAAAGACACATATAGAAGAAAATGTGAAGAAATAAAAGGGTTTTGTTAAAGTGGAATTAAGCCGAAAGTCACACACACACCGTCGTACACTCAAGTGTGTGGTCCCTTTAAGGGCGTGGCCTAGTGAGTGACATCAGGAGCTGCATTCAGGTGTTAAGTTCAGTGTTCGTGGCTGCTTCATGCGCCCTGCAAGTGTTTTCGTTTTGTCTCCATTTCCTTCGACGCTTGCCAAAACGAGATCTTGGCAGACTTGCCCACGTCGGGCAACAAGTATTTTGTGACTTTCGAGGCGTCTTTTTGGTGAAAGCGTACGACCTCATCTGGCACTGTGTCATTTCCCTTTGTGTTGTCTGGTAGTAAATGTGTGCCGAAGATACACGGTTGCTATAGTTACCTGGTAGGCGATGTTGTGGATGGTGATGTGATGCATGGCTGCAGTGTCGCTCTTAAACAGAGCGTGCAGGTACGCCCGGCTATGTCTGAAACACAACAAGCATACTTTTGCATATCAGTAAAAATATACATTAGGATTTTTTTTTTTTCCCTTCCAGGGGGCATTTCAGTGTCTAAGGTCCTCCGAGAGCCATACTAACTTAATTAAAATATGATGCAACACGACTGTGGGTTAAATACTTCTGGAGCTTTTTCGTAACACTTCCTCTGAAGTTTGTTTTTAGAAGTACACAGCGGGCTGTATGCGCTCTGAAAAACGGTGTTGGTGAATTTATGATAATGGAGGAGGAGACAAATTGCATTGCATTCTTGTATACGCATTTAATAAGATCCAATACGAGGATGTTATCAGAATAATCTGACTTGGCAAAGATACCCGTTCTCAGTTGTTTGTTATTGCTGTTCTGCCACTCATTCGGAGAGAGATTTTTTTTTTTTTTAATAAGTTGACCTCGTCAATGGAGAGTGTCAATCAAAAGGGAGTGTTATCTTTGTGAAGGCAGATCCATCTTTTTGTATTGGAGCTTGTGGCTGTCCGTCACAAACTCTAGGAATTTGCATCCACTCTCTGTAGTTTGAAATTCCCCCTTAGAATGAACTGGAATTTATGGGAAGAAAGGAAGGATTTACAAAACTGAAGGTTGGTCTCTTTGTAGGAACCTAAATCTCTTTGGGGAAAATATATTTAGCATAATCCTGACTCAAACAAGCACATTTCATGCAAACTCATTAATATGAAGATGGGTGACGAGGGGTTCTTTTCATTGAGCATTTCGAATGGCACTTTGTTCGCATTATAACACAAACAAAATGTTTCGATTCATGCTTGAATATTTACCTTTCATTTCAATGACCCTTCACAGCTAAATCCCATCAAACATGTTTTCAAAATTTCCCATTGTTGTTCCCATGGAAACCTGCAGAACTAAATTTCCACACCTCTGCAACCCTAAAGTACGGCGAACCTTTTGCAGGTGGGACACCGGCAGTCGGGGTCTATGGGCTTGAAGTCCTTGGCATACTGCTTGTGTTTGACCTGCAGGGATCCCCAGGGCACCAGCGCCGAGCCGAACCTCTGAGGACCGACAGGCGTGACTGAATTCTGTTCGTTTAAACGTCGAGTCACATTCGAGGGGGGGGGGGGAACTCACCGCCGTTCGGGTGGGAAAGACGCAGTCAAACATGTCACAACCCAGAGCGACGCACACCACCAAGTCAACGGCGTACCTGGGCCAACAGATTGCAGGTCAGTTCAACCTTAAAACGCATGCGGAAGTGTTGTCTTAAATGTCAAGAGTGAAGTCATTTGATAATTCTTGAAATAGTTTAAGCCCTAAGCACGCTTGACCTTTAAGGCCTCCCCTGTACATACCCCACGCCCATGAGGTAGCGAGGCTTTTCTCGAGGCAGGTGGTCAGTGCTGAGCGTCACCATCCGCCAGAAGTCATCCTTTTCTTCCCCTCCGCTTAGACCCCCGATGGCAAAGCCGGGAACGTCGCGTTTTGTCATTTCTGTAAGACACGCGTGGAAAGTGAACACATCCGACACAAAATGCTAAGACAATGCACTCGCAAGAACGCAGGAGCCGCGATTGGAAACCAAAAAGTACACAATTGTGAGGCAGACATGCTGACCACTACTCCACCTCCCTGCCTGGATTTTTAAGTCATTTGATGTACCGGTAGTTTTTTTGAAAAGCTTATTTTGGAAAGGGAATAAACTGCATTATTAGCTGTCTTGGTTATCCTGGAACGCTGTACCACAACACATCCGCAACTGTACTGACTTCCAATCCTTCAAATCATTTCTTAAAACTCACCTGTTCCGCAATGCTTTTTAACACCTTTTCATCTCTTTTACCCATTTTTGCTTTGTTTTTGTTCATCTAAATGTGTTTTATGTGTGTATGCCTGGCTTTAAGTGTACATTTTTATCCTGTATTTTAAACTCTTGTAAAGTGTCTTTGAGTATGATGAAAAGTGCTTTCAAAATAAAATGTATTATTATTATTATTTTTTTATTTATTTATTATTATTTTTTTGAACACAGCTCACTGGAATGGGCTGGTGGACCTTATGAAGTGGCCCGCAACTCTAAATAAAATGATTCCAACCTTTTACAAATTCGTTTTTAGGATGTTTTGGCAGCATGGTGATACAGTGGTTTGCACTTCTGCCTCACAGTTCTGAGGTTCTGAGTTTGAACCTTGACTTTAGGCTCCCTGTGTGAATAGTGCATGTTCTCCCAGGTGTCAATGTGAGTGTGCACTCATAAATGGGTCGATTTAGGATCTAGCAAGAGAAAAGCAGCGAGTACCATCTAGACAGGTTTTGCGAAGCCCGGCGTTCAGCCCGCCCTGGATGATGGCGAAAAGGTTCTGCTTGTGCGGGTTACTGTTGGCGGCGATGCAACGATCCAGCCAGCGAATGGATCTTTGCATGGCCTCCTCCACACGCGGTCCCGTCACTGTGCTGCTCACCACGTCATCCAGCTGCATCATGATGTCTGAACCTGCGAGGGTCACAAACACAGGTGAGGCTACAATAAGATTCGGGCTATTCAAGAATCCGAAAACACCAACTCGACCTGTGCTTTCCGAACTTTACTGAGACACGTTTGACATTTTGAAAAATACCAAAAATACATTGAGTGTCATTGCCTGGACACCAACTTCATGTAAAAACTGATTAATATATTATTTTCAATTAATAAAACATTTGTTTTAGGCTTAACTCATGTGTTTAAAAACATCAAAATGTTTAATCGATCCTGATCGTCAAGAGTGCTCCTCCTCCCCCCTTCTCATGCAATGGATTATTCCATCTCCTCCCTGCGCATGTGCAGCCTTGACTCAGAAAGAGGACGGCAAAACAATCTTGCCAGCGCATTGTGAGGAAAATTCAATTATGCCAGTGGAGCGGAAGGTGAGAGGGAAAACAAACAAGCTCTTGCCAGGAGTAGTAGCACTGCTGTCAAGTGTCAGCCGTAGAGAATGCAGTGGAGACGCAATCACTGACCGAGACTGTTCTGTATGGCGATGGACTTTTCCGGACTGAGGAGGATGGTTTTGCCGTCGTACGGGGACTTGAACGTGACCCCTTCCTCCGTTACCTCGGAGAGTTCAACGAGAGACACCATCTGGAAGCCTCCGCTGTCCTTCAAATAAATCACAGTTGTACTTAAAACTATGGTCTCCTACTGCAAGTGTGAAAATGGAATTATCACTTTAAAACGTTACCGTCAACAGATTATTTTTCCAGTTCATGAATCCATGCAAACCATTGGCCTTTTCGATCAAATCAGGCCCCTTTGAAAGCAGAACAAACGAAGGAAAAAAAGCATACTCAGTCAAAGCTAAAATCACTTGTGCCACGGGCATCACCCATTGGGGTTGGGGGTGGTGGCATTTCTAGCATGTCTTCCTCGAGTGGTCTGCAATTTTAAATGATACGGTACAACTTCACTACATCCCTGATTCGCCCCTGCGTGTTTGAATGCCGCCGCAATAATATTAAATCCTTGTGCCAACCAGAAAGGTAGTGATTTCCAACTACTGTACTGTACTCTGATCTCAATTTATCCAATTGGGATTTCATGTACAACAATAAAAAGTATATTCATTCATCTATCTATCTATGGCAGTGATGTAGAGTGACAGGAAGACCTGTTAAATGCGCTTTCACTTTAAGGCAGACTGTACAATTAACATGTGCATTCACTTTTTGTTTACAAGTAAGCATTGAGAGTGTTTCTAACGTAAAACGTGTGCCTTGGCTCAATGATGGTTAGGAAAAACTTTTCAAAGGGACGTCTTTGCATGCTGGGTGGCGATTCCGTACCGGCCTCATCCCCAGATGGTACGTGTTCCCCAGACAAATTTGACATCCGAGAGCGTCCAATTGATCCGCGGTTATTCCCTTCATGGTCCCCTGGGTGCCGACCGGCATGAAAACCGGCGTGCTAACGACGCAGTGCGGCAACTTCAAGTCGCACGCTCTCGCTTTTGTCACCGGACACTCCGCCACGATGTGTAAAGTGAGAGGAGACGCGACGGCGAGGGCTTTCTTGAAAGACATGTCCGTGCTTGGCGGAGTTTCCACACAAGCGCTGGTGGCGGCCATGTTGGTGTGATCCACGTGACAAGGGTGACAGGGGTGGAGTTGGAGTGGCGTACTGGTCGACCAATCGGAAATGAGAAGATTCCGTGGAGGGCCATGAAGGTTCTGAGATATCCAATCAAAGGGTTTATGGAGAAGTGGCAGCAAAATAAGCCAATAGAGATCCCACGTTGGCTGGGGATAGCGGGGTGGGGCTTAACGTGCCGGTGTGGATCGGATGTAGTGTCCACCACTGACCGGATAGCGTTCATGTAGAGCAAGTTTTGTTTTTCGAGTTTTCCGTACTCTTCGATTTATTTGAACGTTAAAGCTCATGTCCTCGGAAGAACGCGAAATACTGGCTGTATGGATCACATGCTGGGAACAGTACCTTATTAACATTGAAGGGAAGTAAAATTCCAAGCTCTTTGTACTAGACTTCAAACAGTATTCCGGTGAGCACCTTATCGCTAAAGGAGTCGAGCTAGTCGACGCGGCTAACGTTAGCCTCCGCTTTATTTGCGCTGTTTGGAGGAGTTCCTCCGAGTTAGCGAAGCCATGGGGAACCGGGGCATGGAAGACCTGATTCCCCTCATCAACAAGCTCCAGGACGCTTTCAGCTCCATCGGGCAAAGTTGCAATTTGGACCTTCCGCAGATTGCCGTGGTCGGAGGGCAGAGTGCCGGGAAAAGCTCCGTTTTGGAGAATTTTGTGGGCAGGTAAGCGAAACGAGCTAGCTCCGATTATGCGACAAAAGTTAAAAATGTATTTGTTCGTATGTAAACGATCTCATTGTGCGTTTTGTTTGTCTATTCGACGCTTAAACATTCCAAACAAGTGTAGTTTTCATTCGGTGAAGCTAACAGTCCATGCTAAGTCCTCCAGCCTGTCGTAAACCAGTTTGGTAAAAGACTGCACATTCAGCAACTTGAAAATATAAACTTTTATCATACACTTTATGTAATATTCCACTTGACTGCGCATGAATGTTGGTTCGGACAGAAAACTTCCGTATAAGCACAGATGTGTTCGGTGCACTCAGTGTTATGATAATTATGATGAATTAAATGCCACACCCACACCGTTGACATTTTCAAATCCGATTGTGTGATTTTTACTGAGTCGTAGCAGGATGGCTTGTTCTGTTTTGAGTCGAATCATATGTAAGCTCAATTTCCAATGTAGAATGTGCATTATTGCAGCTGGACTTAGTGCACTTGTCTTGTACAATAGCCCCCTTTTCAACAATTTTTGTCCAAAAGCGGAGACAGCGGCTAGACATAACTTCCTTGTACATCTTCCTCTTTTGCAACTTTTTGGGCAACTCTGAGGCCACGATTTCTGTCCATTCTCATTGCAATTTATCCTTTCCTCTCCCTCCTCTTCCGCAAATAGGAACCGCCTGCAGAGAAAATACTAAACAAGCTCACTCTCGGCCTGCTTGTTGAGCAGGTTTTGGCAGCGCTTGTAGCCCAACCTGTGTCGGAGAATGAGACAAGAGGAAGAACAGTAATTGGCATTAGACAGACATTGGGTTTGAGAGCCTGTCGTAACTTGCTCGCCGAGATAAATGCGCATGTGGGATTTTTTTTTTGAGAGAGAGAGACATAACACATCCATATCAGATATAATCCAAGACCGTCGTTGAGACCTCAGTTTCACTTGCCAACCTATGCAAATGTGCAGTGACCTTTACATTCTCATTGACCTTGTGCAACCGGCCCAATAATGGTGTGACGCAGCGGCAATAAACATGGAGTGCTTGGGGAGTTGCCCAAGAAATTCAATAAGAACGGGTGTGCTCTTGTGTGGTGACTCACAGAGGAGGCATCCAGAATACAATATGAATGTAGTGAATTGAATACAACTTTATTGTCAAATGTGCTGTATGTGATGAAATTTCTTCCCTCTCAACATAAAACAAGAGGAGCCGCTGTGGGTGTCCGCGCCGGCATCAAAAGAAAAGTTATTAACAAAAAATGACAAAATAATACAAGACAACACATGAGACACAGACAAGTGTGCAATCTTAACAACCCCTTTCCTGCATACACTTTGTTGTCTGAAGCAGTTATAGATGAAAGAGGAGCGAATCAAAGTGTCCTTTTCACCAATGGATCAAAAACGCGATGCTGCAATGTGCACACGTCTGCTACAAGCTAAGCTTGAAAGCAACAAGAAGCTGTAGCATCCATTAACGAAAAAGAGAGGTTGGCTCTCTTTTCCTGTCCCATGTAAATCCGCTTCAATTCCAAGCCGCGACTCCCAGTTCCACATACGCATCGGCGCTGTGCGCTGACACTCCTTTCTTCTCGTCGTCGGCTCCTCAATCCATGCATCCATCCATCCAGCCGCAGACTGTCCATCAGCACTGACCTTTTCGCTGAACAAAGCGGGGCTGTGGAAATGCTGCCTACTTCAGGCGCAAGACACAAGCGCCCCGGGGATGTCCAGCAACGACAGTCAAATGGCGCCGACATTCCTCCCAATCAAAAAATCAGTGCTGGTACGCGTGTGCTGCCGAAAAGGCGCAACCACCAAGCACAGATTCTTCTTCTTTGACGAATGTCGTGGCCAAAAATGCTGAAAACAGTCCACATCAGGTCCACACGACGTAAAAACAACACCATGTGACGAAACAAAGACAAAAACAACAAAAACGCAAGGCTCTTGAAGGGCACTTGCCGACGGCTGCCTATTCGGGCGCCATCTTGGGGGAAAAAAATCCGGCCTCTCAGGGCATTGCTCACAATGTAGTGGTCATCAGCATGGGATGTGGCCAAAGGACGTCCACTTCTAAGAGAAAAAGGCACAGCAATGGCCTTAATGGCACAGCAATGTATTAAAAAAAGACTTAAGCTTGTAACTGAAAACAAAAGTATTTTTTCCAGCTCTAAAAAGCTTCCCTCCCCACTGACGTCAAAAGAAAAAGGGGAGAGTGAAAGGCGGGAGTTGTACTTCAAAGAGGCAGTGCCACATGAATTATTGAAGTAGGGGAACACAAAAACATTTTTGTTCCACCCTTCGATAATGGAGGATCTCGTAAAAAAAAAAGAGCACGTCCGGTATTTCTCATTTCAGCACTGATTACGTTAACCATTACGTTTTTTACTGGCCCCGTTACATTGGTCACATGATGTCAAAATGCGAAGAGCGTGATAAGGACGACTGTCTAAACACTGGCTCTAATTCAATCAGGACATTCATTGGTTGATTCACGGGTCTAACGCCTCTTGTAAATTTTGCCGTTAAGTTCCTCGTTAGACAACGGCAAAAAGCACTGAAACATTTCAGTTTGACTTTCAGTTCACCGGTAAAGGTTCAAATGCGTTTTCGGCTCGTTTCCCTAACCTGCTTTCATGGAACAGAGTGGACTCGACGTCAGCGGTTACGCTGTCGAGATATATATTTTTTCCCCGATTCTGATAAAGACCATATGATATCCGCGTTCCTTTTCTTCTCCCGCCTACAACGTCTCACAAAGCAACATATCTGAATAGCAGGGAGGGGCGTCCTTTGTTTGCTGCTGTTGTCTCCCACCGGAGGCGTTTTCTCATTTTTAACCCAGTTGAGTCGGGTTCAATTGAGTTGGCCGGCCGTGCTGCCGTTGATGCGATTTGGGCCCGCATTCCCGGCGAGTGTGTCACAGGTGAGCGGAGCGCAATCGGATGCTGAGCCAGAGGCGAGCTAAGGGAATCTCGTCTGCCTTGTGGATTTGTGAATGCTGCTTTCTATTAACAAGGAGCAGACATCATCTTGTTTAGTTCATCAAGGCCCGTATGGGTCCCGACACTTTGAAATACATTCCCTCTTTCCATCGCTTGCGAAACGTCAACACTAGCTTTTCTTGGACAATGATTCATTTAATGAGTTGCAAAGTACACCGGGCCATCTGATGTCGAACGGTCAATTCTGGGAAGCCGGTCCACTTGGGGTTTGTCTGGATTCCTGTAGGAAAAAAAAAACAAAACAAAAATAAAATGGCGTGAAATCTGTGCAAACTAACCTCGTCTGTTTTTTGCTGGACAGATTTTCTGTTCTTATTGCCAACGCTGTTTTCTTTTTTTAACATTTTCATTTATCAGCAGCTCTCGGCACAACTATTTGTTCGGTATATTGATCGTCCAAATTACCTCATTGCTCCTTTTATGGATTGTGCCTTCGGTTTATGTCGTCTGCTGTCTGTTGTGTGACAGTCCAATGTTTGTGGTCGTGTCCTCTTGAGAGAGAAGGTATGCAAGAGAAGCAATGTTGGAACATCGAAATCAAATTTCCCTCTGGTGTACACCAGCTCATGCTATACACCTCTAATTAATTGTAGCATTCTAAACCATCATTGGGGAACCTTAAGTGCCCGAGGGTCACATTTGATTTTTACAGGAGGGAAATGGGGCAAGTCGTTTGTAGAATTCATTAACCAACTAATAAACGCGTTGGATTTAACCAATTTTCGCACAGCGTTTGCGATTATTTTCACTTTTATTTATTCAAGCAACCGCTTGATTAAAAAACTCGTTACAAGTATTTTGAAACGAGTTTTCCCCCTCGCAGACGAGCTCCGATAGGATTTTGATATTTTCATGGGTGTAAACAATGACATCACATTTAGTCATTGATAGAGCGGACGCAGCCCGGCTATTCCGATTACTGTACATGAAATCTGTCCCGATTGGCAAAGGGAATGTCCCGTTCCTGTGAATCGAAATGTGAAATCCCATTCGGATCAGGCCGTTTATTCCAATTTTTTAGGTGTTTATATGAAGCGTTTTCATTCCGTTTGCTCATTGAGTTAGGGTTAACTCAAGGCTAACGTTTTTCAGTCAGGACGATTCTGGTGACATGCATGTGCCACATTGGAGGCAGGGCATCCTATCTCGACTAACAATTAGCCAAAAGCTTGGAATGTGACTTTAGTGAAGCAAATTTACATGTCCATGCCTGCACGTTTATTTTACTGGGGCGTTTTTCAGTCAGGACGATTCTGGTGACATGCATGTGCCACAGTGGAGGCAGGGCATCCTATCTCGACAAAGCCAGCCGTCCTGGGTGGGGGGACGGCCTTT